ATCTAGTGTGATTCCTAAGAACACTGTGGTATCTACAGAGCTCATATGTCGATCCTTTATATTTACATTAGTTTTTACCTGTTTCACATTAGGTAATACAAATTTCAAACACTTAGTTTTCCCTTCATTTAGCATCAAATTATTAACATTGAACCAATGGACTACCTTCGAAATAGACCTGTTCACGTCATCAATTTGTGACTCCCTACGTTTAATTTTAAACAAAAGTGAAGTGTCATCCGCAAACAATACTATTTCGTGGTTATCCTTTACAAAATAGGGCAAGTCATTGATATAAATTAAAAATAAGAAAGGACCAAGGATTGAGCCCTGCGGAACTCCCATCTTAACCGACGAACCAGGAGATTTTACTCCATTGATGTCAACCCTCTGAACCCTATCACTCAAATAAGATACAATAAGATCCAGAGTGGTATCTCTAAATCCATAGTGGTGAAGTTTCCTGATCAATGTTTCATGAAAAACGCAATCAAAAGCCTTTGATAAGTCACAAAATACACCTAATGCATCCTGCGAGTTCTCCCAGGCATCAAAAATTTGCTGTACAAGCTCAACACCGGCATCGGTTGTTGAGCGACCCCTTGTGAAACCAAATTGTTTACTATGAAGAATGTTATTACTATAAAAATATGATTGCATTTGATCTAGCATAATTTTTTCAAAAATCTTACTAAAGGTGGGTAACACGGATATAGGTCTAAAGTTTGTGGGGTCAGATGTGCTACCCGATTTATGTAATGGAGTTATTTTACTGAGTTTCATTAGATCAGGAAAAACACCACAGTCAACACATTGATTAAAAATGCTAGCCAAAATAGGAGCTATTGTCTCAATTACTGATCCAGAAACATCCACGGAGTTACCCCACAGATCCGCAGTTTTCTTTTTATTTAATTGGTTGAAATATTTTATTACATCTTTACAGTTAACATACTTAAATTTAAATTGACTAGTATATTGTTTTGTGTGTTCTTTTAATATTGATTCAGCCGCAATGGGGGACGAGTTCAAAGATTTTGTAGTTGAAACTGGAATATCAGTGAAAAAGTTCTCAAATGCTGTAGCAACTTCAACATCTGATGTAACATTTCTATGTTCAATGTTTAAATTAAAACTAGTATTTCGAGTTTTAGATTTTCCAGTTTCATTGTTTATAATGTTCCAAGTCATTTTGATTTTGTCATTACTATTCTTAATCTTACTACTTAAATAATTTGATTTTGCTGTACGACATACTTTTTTAAATAACTTTGAATAATTACGTACGTACTCTTTGAAACTTTCACTAGTATTAATGCTGCGTTCATTGTAAAGTTCATAAAGTTTCCTTCTACTTTTATGTATGCCTGGGGTGGCCCACTCGCTGAAAGTTACTGCATCACTAACACATATGGTTTTGGGAACAAAGACATCATTAAATTCTTTACAAAAATTATTAAAAAAATCATTATACATATCATTTGGACTACTTTTATATTTTAAATAACTCAAACTAACAGATTTTGGCACAATAGTAATATATTTCTTGGTGATATTTTTATTTGGATGAGGAAAAGTAATCATCTGGCCACAATGATCACTATCCAGTTGATTAACAATTACTTTTGAATGTGGTATTATATCCGTATAAATATTGTCAATACAAGTGGCCGAAGTGGCAGTTATTCTAGTAGGCTCCATGAACAAGTTTTCAAGATTATATGATTGAAATAGATTTCTTAAATTAATACTCAAATTAGAGGTTTCTAATAGATTAATATTAAAGTCACCACAAACAATTAATCGTTTACCAGTGTTGACAATTTTTTCTAAAGCTTCATCCATAATAGTTTCAAAACAATCATACAATGCTGAAGGAGGTCTGTATACACTCAATACAACAAGCTGGTCCAGTTCCACACAGGCAATCTCTATTGTTCGCTCAACCGAGAGGCTCACAATATCTTTACGTTCCTTAAATTTAAGTGCCTTATTTAATAAAATTAAAGAGCCACCGCGAATCGCATCTTCTCGACTGAACGAACTACCAACCTGATGATTATTAAAATTAAAGATGAATTGATGACTTTTAAGCCAATGCTCTGTGATACAAAATATATCTATATTGTTACAATTCAAAAATAATTCAATTTCTAAGTCCTTACCCATCATTCCTTGAATATTTATATGCATCAGGTTGATCAAGTTTACATTTTCTTTTAATTGTTTGGGATTTTTCTTAATTAAATTAATATTTTTATGCAAGTTATTACAATAATTATTTATTATTAAGCAAGACGAGTTGTCTGTTGTCTCATTATTTAATTTAAACAATAGTTATTATTTTGTAATTTGTCAGTAGAAGAATTACTGACTGTCAAGTCAATGGAACATTGCTCAATAAAAGCAATTTGTTTAGCCAAGTTTTTGGCTGTTATATAAAAATAATATGATAGCGACTTAGCTATCTGTCTTTTATAATAATTAGAAAGATAATATTTATCTTTGGTCAAATATAAATTTCTAACATAATTGTTAGTGTCAATAATATGACATATATCAGGGGCGTATCCCAGGGGTCCAGGGTGGCAAGGTGCTAGCAGGTTGGTAGAAGCCATATAAAGGCATTAATTACTGACTGTATTTTGGTTAGATTAATTCTAAGGAGAAGAAACTGGTCGAAGTATTTTGGACCATGAATACTACTCGATGAGTCGCAACTTGCACCCAGGTTCCAACAGTACGGCGGCCCTGTATGCAGAACAATATTAAGTTATGATTTAAATAGCAGTCCCGCATGATCGACTTATATCAGTCTTGTGACTTTGGTAAGCGATGTCGCATTGACACCGGGCTTATTTTATCAAAGAGGGGAGCCCTCTAATCTCTGTATCGCAATGTGGATTGCCCCTCACGAACGCCAGGGACGAGCGTTAATTGTTGATAAACAATAATTGGGAAAAATATAAACTTTGCTTTGAACCAATGGTTGAACCACATAACTTTTTCCCTCCATACATTTTAGGATATAATAAATACATTCTGTGAAATTATAACCCTAAGCCTTACAACAAACCACATTTTAATAACGTACGTGAACTCTGAGGAACCGCGTCAAAAATGGGTTTCAATATGGTAAGGTATGTGTAGAATGAAACTCGAACTTCGTCGTTATTGAAGATAGCAAGCTGAAAATTGGTAGATGAGCTTTCATGGTTAAATCTTGACTGACAGTACTAAGTCTAAAGAAAAGTTTACTAGAAAAAAAAATCCACGCGGACCAGGCAGCGGATGGGACGGGAGCGGACGGGACGGAGTTAAATTTTCCTAGAAAATTTCGACGCGGCTAATAGGGCCGTGGTAGCATAACGGTCAGTGCATTCGCCCGGATAGCGAAGGATGCGGGTTCGTGTCCCATCCGCTGCCTGGTCCGCGTGGATTTTTTTCTAGTAAACTTTTCTTTACATTTAAACATCTAGCAGTTAAATGCTTAAAAAATAAATAAAATCATGACAGTACTAAGCCCAAATATGACGACTGACATATTTGGGCTTAGTAGCAGTGTGCGTGTATTTGTGGACAATGACGGCAGGGCTTAGTTTTAACCGGTGCCACTTTTTTGTACGCAGCGCTCCTTCTGTACTTTTTTATTTGATCTGAGGGTTAAATTTATAGAATTAAAGTTTACTGTTACGTTTTTATGGTTTTTTCGCTAAGGGTCTTAATTATATAGAAGATAAAACATTATGATTTCGTTATTTTCTGTGTACGAAGCCATGGGTTACTATTTAATCAACCCCAAAAATGTAAGGTTATCTTTATCAGGAGTGTTTTTTAACCGAAGAAAAAAACAGAGGAGGTTCTCAAGTCGACGCGTATATTTTTTTTATGTACGACCACGCATAACTTTTTATAGAGTAGTCCGATTTTGATAATTATTTTTCTATTGGAAAGGGTATATCCCGAAGTTGGTCCCATATGAATTTGGAAAAAAATCCAACCCTAAGGGTATGAAAACAGGGGATGATTGATTGTTCACTCACTGACTGTAATGTATTTACAGAGTAGTCAGATATTGATAATATTTTTTTTATTATTTGATTTTAGAAAGGAGATACATCAAATTTGATCTTACATAAATTTGGAAAAAATAACTACCCTAACGGTGGGAAAATAGGGGTAATTACAGTTTTGATGCCGAGTTGTATATTATTATAAAAATTACAGCCACAAAACATTGCAAAATAAAAATTCGGTCGGTGCCATGCAGGTCTGATAGATAAGAGTTCCCATTTACTACTTGGGTTGGCCTGGCACTGGCACCGACTCCAAATATTAATTTGATTTAAGATCAAAAAGGTTTGTTATTTTTTGTTCTTCGGCGGTTTAACTGTTTTTTAAAAAGATTTTTATGTTCTGTGGTTCCGACCGACTTTCACACGGACGATGTCGCGGGCGGAAAGCCAATAGTATATAGATTACTTACGATCTTCCCCATCAGCAGTGCTATTCTATTAAATTTTTACGCGGTTCCGATATAAATCCGCGTGGAACCACATCGGAACCGCGCGTAAAAATTTTACAGAATAGCACTGCTGTTGTATTTCTTAATGATGCTAGCATTAAATCAATCAGTCAATATTATGGGTGAGTACAAGGAAAACTAATTAATGCTAAGATGGTACTTAGATAGTGATTGCCGTACAGTCAAGGCCATGGCTATGAATATGGTTTTTATCGCCACTTATTAAAGTCGTGATGCCAACAGTCTTCGTATTGCAGCATAAACTTCAAACGCGATGTAAAAAAAGTACTTAAAAAATATAGTCAGATATTATCTATCATAGTTTTCTTTTATTATGGTTTAATATCTCGCATTGACGAATTGGTATCCATTGAGTCGCATCGCACGGTAAAAACAAACAAGCATCTTATGTTTTAGATGAGTTATATACACCTGCGTTTTAAAGCATCACTGAAATCAGTTAAAACTTCCTTACCTTTTCTTATTATTAGTCCACTGGATATCACCACAGTCAAGTTACTCAGTATAATAAGCGTGCCCAGAAAGTAAGCCACCCATTTGTATGTTAGCAATTGTTCGCGCTCCGTAGTCTTGTATGCTTCGTACAGATCGAAACTTTGTACCTGATGCACATCACTATCGTTTGTGAAATTAGCAACACTCAATACATCTTGATATATTAAACTGGCCAGCTGATTTACAGTCTCGTTTGCCGCCCAGTCAGAGGAGTTCGAATCCATTTTTCTAACTGTTTATTTGTAAAAAACACTCGTAACATTATTGGGACCGGTTGATTCTCGGGCCGGGCACATGCTCACAACGTCGGTTTCTCAAAATGAATGACTGGATTGCCAAACAACGCTGCTTGAGGATAAAACCATCATCTTTTTTGTTTGTTTGCTATAATGAGACCATGACACTTGGGTTCCTCGGGCAGATGTTTTCTATGATGTGATCATTTGTACAAAAATAGCTTTTCCGTGTTTAATAAAAATAAATATTTGTTCACGGTTTATTTTTTGTGTAATTTGTGTAATAAAGTGCGAATATAATGCATTGAAGAGAGCAGTTTCTTCTGGAAAGACTTTAATTGTTTTGAATCAAGTTTTTGATTGATGAAAGCGGTTTCTAAGTATGAGGAACTTTTGTAACTTATGTGATGTGCTGGGAATGAATTAAAACATGAAACGCGTCAGCTGCGCTGCAACTTCTAACTTACCAAATTAGTGATAAGGAATAGGAAAGTTTGTTTTATTTCTTTGGAAAGTCAACGAAGGTAGGTAAACAAATGCGGTTAATTTTTTTCTCCAAAATCAGCTTCAATGTTTGCCATGATAGAATGGGAGTGAAAATAAAACACAGAATGAGCCAGCTGCCAATATTCATGGTGAGCCATCGAACTGGACAGTGTGATTTTCTTAAACAGGATCGCACTTAAAAATTAGCTGATGCCGATTTTATTTCCCTGTCCTGATTAGGAGACGTGATTTTATATTATTATTTTGCCAAAACTTGTGTGTGTGTGTGTCACACAAAAAAGTGTGTGTTAGAAATTGTACGGAATCCGCATTAAATCCTGAATACTTCTACGGCGAAAAGTAATAAGGAATTGTTTAGGTTTTTTTATACTTTACGTTTTTGTTTTCTATAGACAGAAAAGACTGATATACAAAATGTTATGGCCAATTATGGTTTATGACTGCACCATGTCGCGGTATGAATACAAATTTGTTGTTCTTAACGAGGTAAGTAATGAGTTGAAACATATAAAACAATTGACTTTATTTTGTGGTACATAAGTACCTATTAGTTTATATTCATAAAAAGCTTTGTTTCAAAGGAATTCCCTTTTATTATCATTGGTACGGAGGTAGTGAATTAGAATTCTATTGTCGTACTCTTGCTACATTATTTATTTATGCTTATTAAGTATGCACCTGGTGGAATAGACTTTGGTGTAGGACGTAGGTTAACAGTTTTGACATTGAGAGTATTATTCGAACTATTCAAAGTAAGAACGATATAAGTCCGTAGTTCAAGTGTAATTTGGCAACTTTGTTTGAAAATCCCCTAATTACGAGACAATATTTAAGTTAGAATACCTAAGCAATAAAAAATCCACTAGGTTCTTTTCTAATAAAATTTTCTTTAGATTTAAAGGTAAGTTTATCCTACTAATATTATAAAATCCTATTTTCTACTAATATGTATTATAAGCGCGAAAGTTTGTACTTTTGTGAGATGTTCATGTGTTGTTTTACTCCTTTGCGTTTGGACTTTATTACCACTTAACATCAGGTGGGGTAGAGTCATTTGCCTACCTCTTATTAAAAAAAAAAGGCTGATCGGATTTGGATGAAATTTACCTACGTAGCTTACTACCTAGATTTATTGACACATGGAATAGGTACATGATCCCGAAAAATGTTAAGTTAAAATTTAACAATGATAATATCCTGTAAATTAAATACTTGAACCATTACATAATTTTTTTCGCGATTTGGACCGATTGGAATGAGCACGGAATTTTCCATTAGATACTTATATTGTGACGAAATCGGGGAATAAAATTCTTTTGGGTGTGGAAACGTACTCAAAGTTAGGAGAATAAATAGGAAACATATTGTAGACGGAAAAGCAACATTCTCTCCAGTGGAGACTGTGGTGCTTACTTTTGATGGCCAGGTTTTACCTAAAAGAGTTTTTCTTTGCTTCAATGCTTTACCCGTTGTTTTGTATATTTTCCCTACTGTACAGTGCTTTAATTGTTGTCGCTATGGTCATATTAAGAATCAGTGTAGATCTGTTCCAAGATGTTTCAAGTGTGGCAATAGCCACGCTGGTGAGAGCTGTAAAATTGATGATGATGATGTTGTGTGTTGCTTGTGTTCTGGTTCTCACTATGCAACAAATAGAAAATGCCCAGAGTTTGCAAGACAGAAATCTATAAAAGAGACCATGGCGAAAAATTGTGTTTCATATGCTGAAGCATTTAAATTACATCCTCCAGTTATGAAATCCTATTCTGAAGTGTTATCTTCCACATTAACTCCATTGTCTCAAATCTTTAAATGAATAAGAGATGCTTGCCTTCAATGCGTCTTACCTATGGCTTTTCTACTAATGGCAACTGTGCTTTTCTACTAATGACCCTTTGTGCTCTGATGATGTGATCCGACAGGAAATGGAATAATTTATTATATTCACGGATATCTCGCTCATAAACTGTCTACGTATAAGGCTTGGGTTACAGTGAAGAAGATAGCTTATAATTCTGCCAACAAGGCTTGCAAAAGACACTCTTATTAGGCCTCAAAGAGGACCTTGCTATAGCACTGAGGATACACCGTGGAGAGGTGCTCATTCTGTAACTTTATAGTGCGTGGAAGAAAATATCTCTATAAACGAACAGTTGTAGATTTCAGTATTTCCAGGTTATATGGGTGAACTCGACTGCGATGACGGGCGGCGCGTTGGTAAAATGGTGCCGTGGGTATCAACTAAGTTAATCAATTCCTCTGTGCACTCACCATGAACAATATCTTTGCGCATCTGTAAATGCTCCCAACTTTTCTGCCAGCTTGGGATCAATCATTCCGTAACAGAAAAGGCAAAATTATTACTTACGCTGTTTTCAGACAATTCGCTTTTAGACACGCAAACTCATATATACACAAAAAAGAGGTCCGTAAATACCTTCGTCTAGATGTGAACAAGAGTAGTGGTACTGATAGCATACCAGCAAGAGTAATGAGGTGCTGCACCAGTATTAACGCGTCTGTATCGCCTTTCTCTCCAAATAAAACTGTACCAGGATCTTGGAAGCTTGCCAATGTACGTACAACCAGTACATAAGAAAGGTAACCGAGCCGACCCCTGTAATTAACGTCCGATAGCCATTGCTAATATAGGTAATCTGTAAGGTTATTGAGAGAGTATCTTTCAACTGCAAGCTGATCTCAAAAGTAATAGAGAATGATCTTCTCAGTGATCACTAATATGCTTTCCGTCGGGAATTGTCGACTGGGGATTCCCAGTAAGTCACTTAAACAAGAAGATTTTGCTGGGGTCGACCATCGAGAAACACGGCGAAGCATTTGGTCGCTCGACATCACAAACGCCTTCGATATGGTCTCTCACACAGGTTTGCGAAGCATACTTCCAGTACACGGCCTCCCTACTGACTATTGTGAATGGGTAGCTGATTTCCTGAGCAAACGGTTGATCAGAGTGGTAATTGATGGCTGTTCTTCTGACCTTATGGCTATTGACGTCGGCGTTCGTCAGGGGTCTGTTTTATCTACGACCCTTTTCCTGTTACACATCAACGACCTCGTAATATCAGGAGTTGTTGATTATGCTGATGACAGGAGTGCCGTGGATATAAATCTCTAGTGCGGGAGCCATCAGAGAAAAAGTGCAACCGATGAGAGAGTCCATATAGAACGAATAAACCTGTTCTTCCGTTGGATTACGTGTTCCAGTGGGGTAAGAGTAATATCGTCAGCTTTAGTAATACCTCCAAGACGCAAACGTGTCTGTTCACCGCAACAGAATCCCTTCACCATGACTCCTTATTTTATGAGGATGACTATTGAATCCAAGGCGCCAAATGCACCTAGAAATCTGAGTTATCTAAATAGGGTGACGCCTGGACAAATTTTAGGTACCTCGCGCACTAGACTAACTACCAAGTATAACAACTACCAGATTTACTAAAGAAATACCATAAATTTACCATATGAATGTAGCATGCGAAGTTTTGCAGACCGGGACGATTGGTCATTGTGATTAACTTACGTATAGTTTGTTATGAGCGCTCACGCACTAGATCTGCGACCGCGAATGCGACCAGCCATTCTCAGTGTCATGCAGTGTCATGCGAGCAGTTCATGAGTGAACACGCTTCGTATCTTTCCACAACTCAATACGTGGTCGTGGCCGTCTAGTGCGCGAGGTGCCTTAATCCTTTTCAAACTTCAGGTCTGACCCTGCATGGAGTATTGCAGTCACCTTTGGGATGGCTCGGTCAAATACCAACTTGCTGCACTGCACTGGACTTGGTGGAACGAACGCTGAGCCACGAGGCGACAATACTTAAATTGGTGGGAGCTATGCTTCTCACCTTGGCTCACCACCGCAAAGTTGCCTGCCAGTATGTTTTTTACAGGTTGTTTGTTGGGAGTGTGCTCAGGAGTTACATGAACTTATTGCAGCATATGCAGTAATGAAAATACTTCAGTTAACGGATATAGAAACTGCCAGATTAGTCTACTTTAGTTATTGTGGGGAAATGCCGCCGACATTCAAACAATATTTCTCAACTTTCAACATCCTCATAAATTTGTGTTGCAGAAGCGGGCTATTCGATCAATTTATAATCTTAAAGTAAAGGACTCCTTAAGAGATAAGTTTAAAGAAACAGGCATAATGACGGTTGCATCACAATACATATATGAAAACTTAGTATTTGTCAAAAAAATATTAGTTTATTTACTAAAAATAATGAAATACATACACTTAATACTAGAAGTAAAAATAAGTTAACTTTACCTGCTACTAGGCTCCACAAAATTAATAATTCGTTTAGAGGTCTCTGTGTTCGCTTTTACAATAAAGTCCCAAGCAATATTCAAGAGTTAAGCCTGACTAAATTTAAATCGACCATTAAAAAATCTCTTGTTAAGAAAGCTTATTATAAAGTGTCTGATTATATTACAGACAAAAATGCTTGGGTTTGAACTGTTCAACAACAACCATTCCAACGGGTATTTCTATATAAGATATATATTATGAATCATGTGTTGACGTTACTTCTATTGAATTTAAAAGCTGTATTTAAAGTTGATTACTTAAGGAAGAATATCAGAATATTTAAGAAGATTTGAATGACAAAACGGCGTGGTCATGATTTCTCCATTGTTTTTGATTTGTAATTGTTTGCAGTGTCCTATAGATAAATGACTTTAAGTAAATATTTTGTGGTTGATATAGGTGGTTATGGGTTCCTAGCAGGCACGCTCCCGTGGTAGATTGATGCCCTGGTACTGTCCCAGGTGTATCAACACCGGGTCGTGGCGAGAGAGCGGGGCGAGCGACCCGTTCTAGAGGAGATAGAACGGGTCCGCACCGAGGCGCAGAGGGAGGCTCTGCGCCGATGGGTGGAGGCACTCGCCAACCCAGCCGCTGGCCACCGGACGATCGAGGCGATTCGTTCGGTGCTGGAGGAGTGGGTAGGGCGCCAGCGGGGCACCCTCACCTACCGCCTGGTGCAGGTAGTGACCGGACATGGGTGCTTCGGTCACTACCTGCACCGAGTCGCCCGTCGGGAGGAGACGCCGCGGTGTCATCACTGCGCCTCTCCCGACGACACGGCCGAGCACACGTTGATCGTGTGCTGGAAAATAACTGGTGAAGGACCAAAATGAAATGAACAAACCAAATTGATCTCCGCAAATGATAAAACGATGATACAAGTTGAAGAATAATTATTTTTTAATAAAAACAGAAAATCAAGCCAACAGAAAGAAATAGGAACAGACAACGTCAAAAAGCCAAAAAACAAAAAACTACATCAGCTACCTACCTAATACTTACAGATTCCCGGAGTGTGCTGAAATGTTTAGAAAACTCCAAACTGTCATACGCAAAGAACATTTATATCTATAAGGACTTTTGAAAAAACTAACAGATTGTGGAAAAATATCGAATTCATGTGGGTTTTTTTTCAATTCCTTCCATTCTGGCATAACAGGAAACGAAATTGCGGACTCGTTAATGAAATTTAAAAATTTCACCATACCTGTCTATGAATCTGCTCAAATATCTTTTACGGATTTTTATGGTACCATAAAAGACAGGATGTATTCGATATAGAATCAATATTGGCAAGAAACAAGGAAAAGTAAAGGAACATGGCATGCGGAAATCCAAGATATAATCCCGAAAAATAATGGCATTATAAACTAATTCGATATACATTTCGTGTCAAACACTCCCAAGACACATTAGAATGAGTAACACCGACATTCTAATGTAAAAAAATGAAGATTAATAAAACTAAATACTTGGCTGTATGGGCATTGTTCCTTTTGCGTTCCTTAAAAAAGGACACACACTAAAAAAAAACACTTGACGTTTTATTCCTTAAATACTACTCTTTGTTTTATTCCCTGAAATTTGGTGTAAAAAGGAGTTTTTGTAAATTTAATTTAATTTAAGGTTTATAAGAAATAAAATGTTTAATTGGTCTGTTTTAAAACAACTCTCAAGGTGTGTCGAAGTTTATATCTGCTAACTAGATGCAATTGTTAGTCATACATAACCTATACCTTAATTTTGTCTTTTTATTTCAGACTTTCGATATGTGCAGCTGCCAAAGCACAAGTAAATACAAGATTAATATCTACAAATACTACTCTACAGTTTAAAATGACCGAACCACTCTGGTAAGGTTACATATTATATAAAATATTGGTGCATAAACTGTTGAATATAATTACAACCTTTAATTATTTCAGTGCTGAACCTTTGAAAAAAAAGAAGAAAATGGATCCTGCCATTATAAAGGCGCGCGAAGATCGTCGCCGCAAGAAATTAGAAAAGCAAATTCGTAGATTGCAGAAAAATGCACGACAACTTAAATCAATTGATGAGATGGAAGTTCCATTACACATTTTAGACGAAATGGGGTAAATTTGCATTGAAATTCTTCTAACATTTTTACCCTCACATAATATGTTTTACTTGGAGCTTAAAATATTTATATGATTTTTATGTAGGAAACGGAAGAGGCCACCAGTGAAATTGTCTTCTGAAGTAATGGAAGCCCGAGCCTTATTACAGAAAGAATGGACCCAATACAAAAGGGAAGAGTATATGAACAGTGTGGCTCAAATTGATAGAATCATGGCTGCACAGCGTAGAGCCCTTGACAAGCTTTATGAAGAATCAGAAGAACTATATGATGAAGCTATTATGGTGAGTATGAAATACCTACTTTACAGCCTTTGTATGTCTTTCATTTCAACTACATAGGTAATGGAGTGCCTCAAATATTGAGAAAGTTTAAAGATTCTAGTTAGGACAAGAAAAACAGCAGGTTAATACTACTACTTAGCTGCTTTAATAAGCTTAGTTTATAAAACATACTCAGGGACATAAGCCAGCATTCCTTACTGAAAAATAGAGTGCCAGTTCAAATTTTGGACTAGCATTTTTCAAGAACATAATTTTTCCTTCAAACAGTTAATATTACTTAGTTTGTTGTTTAAGACATGCACTTTACGGTCTTTTTAATTTGAAGTTGTTTGGTATTACCAAAGTCTACCTTTTAATTTGTGAAACAAAGTCTTATGTTGTGTTGTTATGTCAAAGAAGTGATAGAATTAAATTAAATTGTGTTGTAAATAGATATATTTCTAGAAACATTTTTCTGATCAAGAAGTTTAAACACCTCAAGACAGACCATAAATTGTGCCATTTGCCTGTACTCCACAATGGACTATTTCAAGTCCAATCTGACACTGCTATTAAATAGAATTATTTATAGTAACATTTTTCTGATCAAGTAGTCTAAACACCTCAAAACAGACCATAAATTGTGCCATTTGTCTGTATTGCAAAATAAACTATTTCAAGTCAAACCTGACATCACTACTGAATAGTTTTTTTGTATAATTTTTCTGATCAAGCAGTTTAAAAACCTCAAGACAGACCATAGACTAATAAGAAAAGGGCAGAGATATTCTTAATGTGTCATGTGCCCTTTGTTACACTGTCCTCCACTTGAACAACCTATGTAATTATTTATTTTTCTGTGTATAGCTTGAAAAGGAACTAATGATCCTCTTTTATCATGTTACAGCCTGACTTGTCCCTGATACCCTATTCTGTCAGGGGTCCAGTTGCCACTCCACCTATCAAGGATTATGCATCACCGGATGGAGAGTTTATAGATGTGTCGAAGAAATGGGACAATTAGTTTGTTGAGTGTGCTATAAAATATTCTTAGTGTAAATTGTAAATTAATACATTTTATTTTATTCTTAACTTAAATGCCTTTCGAGACTTTAATAACTTGTTTTTTTGTTTCTAAAACTTTTAATGTGTCAGCTTGCATATATCGTAGGATGATTTGGTAAATCGAATTTGCGCGAAAACACAAGGGATTTTGCAAAAATGCCGATAACTAGGCGATGGCAAAGACATCTCAATGCAAGCCACCTCAGTAAGATTGCGAAAAGAATCGTTGGCTTAATATATATATTCTTGTATATTTGGGTTCGTCGTCTCACAGTAGCTTCGGTTATTGTAGTGACAATGACGCGCGGCCCGAGCGAGCGTAACGAGTGTGCCGCGGTAGCGGCCTGCGAAGCGCCAGATTTTTTAGTTAACAGTATGATTGTACAATGTCATCGGCATTGGATAAGTAGACAACGGCGATGACTCATCGCCAGTGTCTACCTGCATCGCAAAATCGCTTGGAATTTCGCGATTTTTTTATTTATCAAATTGTCTTACGACACATAACCTAAAACTCTCAATGGATGGATATGATTGGTTTGTTTTGAATATGTTTCAGATAGGTATATAATAGAAATTGTGATAAATAGTAATTGTAGCTTAATCACAATTTTAAGTTGAGAGATGAAAAACACCCTTCGAAACTAGTTTTCGAAATCAGTTTCGAAAAAGGTATTTTAATAGTTTCGAAACTGGTTTCGAATAAAGAATAAATTCTGCTTTCGAAAGTAGTTTCAAAAAAATATTAGTAATTCTTGCATCGGAACTCGGCGATTAATCTACAATCTTATAATATTTTTATTTTTAAGCATATTAACATATAAAATGGGAGACAAGCTAATGGCCAGGCTGATGTTAAGTTACCGCCAATAAGCTAAAAACTAACGCTGCTATAATTCTCATTTCACTTGCGCTGTTGTGTACTGTAATCCCATCCCCTACACCGTAAAGCCTTGGCACCTAGCTTTTATTAATATGTCCTTTCTTCATTTAGTCTTGGAGAGTACTTTTCCAATAATTATTAAATTATGTTTATTATTTGAATAGGCTATTTGACAGGTTTTTGGAAACGTTCATAAGTTTCGTTTTCCTTTACGTGACATGACAATAGATTAAAAAAACTTTTCTATTTCATGATATACAAAAAATAAAAATAGGGTCCCGTAGTATTGGTATGTTCCCGTATAAAGTTCAATTATTTAGATGCCCATGGAACAGAATTTTTCTTTTCAAAAACAAAGGATTTTTTTTGTACCGGTTTCGAAAAGAGAAACATATTTTTTATTTAGAGAAGAATTTTTAATTCTTTGAAACTGGTTTCGAAAACAGCCAAAGTTGAAAACAATGGAGTCAGAAAAATATACACCTACGAATCCTTGAACCATACGAAACACAACACCACCAAAAAAACGACTACCTCCGTCGTCCCCTAGCACGAACCAAAATCGAATTCGTAACGTCATTGTCAAATGTATACTGATCTTTAGTTCCCGTTACGTCCAAAGTGGCGCTGCTGTTCAGGTTTCTGTACGAAATTTGACATTGACATTTCGGTTTGCAAACTATTCGAATTCGATAATGGTTCGTGCTAGGGGTACAGAATTTTCTTACCATAGGTGTCACTTGCGCCGTTGCCTACCCTGACCCCACACCCTACCCCGTGGAGAATTTGAAACCTTATCGACAGAAACGCTACCACCGCAAGATAGTGTTACTTTGCTGTGGTCTTTTATAAGGTGAGGGTTACTTCTCCAGAGGTGCGCTCCAATTCAAGCGGAGAATCCGCTATGTAAGTTTAATTGATCTCATTCATTCAACGACTTATCACGAAATCTCAGAAACTATTTCACCCATGAAAATAATTGATACTGAGGTAGATTTTGACATACAGACAGGGGCGTATATAAATAAATTTCTTGATACTTTTGGAAAAGCTAGTAAACGAAAATTACGAAGTAATCATGGCAATATTCATGCCAAAACTTAAGCCGGGCCTCCTGCATTGTGTTTTCGTGTTTGAGATCACGATAATATTGATTGCTAACCGATTGGGGGCGCGGCCTAACTGTTTTGCTAACAGCAATTGGATAAAACTTGTTTTAATAACATGTTTTGCTAGGAAATTGCCACCCCGGCCTGAGTTTTGGCCCGAACTTTACCATGATTACTTCATAATTTTCGTTTACTAGCTTTTCCAAAAGTATCAAGAAACTCGTTGATCTATTCGTACATCCTACTAATTTTAGAAATGTGAAAGTTTTTTATGTTTGTTACTCAATCATGCAAAAATTAATGAACGGATTTGGATGAAAGGAGACGGTTTAAAAATAGTAGTTGGCTTCCGGTAGCGATGAAACATAATATCATTTGAAAGCTTGTTTTATGTAATAAAAGCCGGGTCTCCACCGCGTTTTTTGCCCTACATAATCAACAAAAACATAAAACATTCAACAAAATCGCCCTCACAAAACTTTGTTTCACTACACATACTTATTGGTTTGCATCAACAAAGTTTATGCTCTCCGATCCCGATAGAAAACAAGTACACAAATAACCCCTGTGCGGGCTGAGGGGCAGGGTATGGTGTCATCGGCCATTTTTTCGACCACTCGCTAGCAGGGGCTGCGTAATGCGTTCCAAAACTACGCTCCGAGGGCAATTTTTTACTCTGACGTTTACTTATACATATATGAAAATTTTGTCAAATGTTGACATTTGTTGCACCTGGATCACATGTTTGGAACGCAGCCCTGTGTATTTTGTGTTCGACAGCTGAGGGAGCAGTAGACATCGTGTGTAAATAAACATGTTTCAGAAAAAAAGTTTTGTGTATGTGTATTTGTTGAATGTTTCAAAGAACTTTTGCTGGAGACTTGGCTTAACATGAAAAGATATTTATAGTTCTAGGATTTTTTAGGGTTCTGTACCCAGAGGGTAAAAACCCTATTGCTATGACTGTCGTCTGTCTGTCTGCCTGTCCGTATATCACTCGTCTCTTTAAAGTAAACGGAATGAGTTACAAAATTGAAATCTTGGCATTAAAATATTTTTATCGGGCAAAATGAGGTCATAATACTCTAAGACATAATAACAAATATCGAGTCAACTAATATATGTAAAAAACCGACCAAGTGCGAGTCGGACTCGCGCAGCGAGAGGGTTCCATACAAACCTGTAGGTATATTTTAATAATTATTAAAAATATTTTTTATTATATGATGTAACTTAAAATTTACGGTTTTCGCAATTTTTCCTTTATCTGTACTATAAGACGTTACTTCGTACCAAATTTCAAGATTCTTAGTTCACGGAAAAGTACCCTGTAGGTTTGGATTCCCGTGCGAGTTTCGAAAGTTTGCGGCATAAACGGCTGTATCCTTCGATTGCTTTGGCTTAGAAGTTTGATTTTTTCACAGCTCCAAGGGACAGTAGACCTGAGTATTAGATATGAATTTCAGTTTGAAACCTCCACGCGTTCCGGAGAAAAACGATCTTGACAGACGGACGGACGGACGGACTGACGGACAACAATGTGATCTTATAAAGGTTTGGTTATTTCCTTTTGAGGTACGGAACCCTAATAAAGAACTAAAAACTGCGACTTAATATTTATTACATAGACTCGGGCACTAATGTTAAATTATTGATTAAATTTTTAAATTACAGTTTTATAACATTTGTATAACATGCTATTTAATTAAATAAATAAATATTTTCAACACTCACACCAATTAGCCTCGTCCCAAAGTAAGCACTATAAGGCTTGTGTTATGAGATGCTAGGGTAACGGATAGTACTGTACATATATATTTTTATAGAAATACATATTAATCGTCCATGACTGGACTACAAATGCTCGTATTCATCACACAAACATCTGCCCCCACCGGGATTCGAACCCGGGACCTCTGGAGTCGGCGACACCATGAAACCCGGCGTACAAACCACTCTGTCACGGAGGTCGTCAAATTATAATATATTAAGTTTGGACGCACCTTTATGATTGGTGTTACACGACCTTTCAGCCTTTTAGGGTCTATAAGTGTTCCGTTTTTTGAGGTAAAAACGGAAACCTCAAAAAACGGAACACTTATAGAATCACTTTGTTTTCCATCTATCCGTCTGTTTATCAAGACCCTTTATCTCGGAAACGCGTGGAGGTAGGGGATGGGGAGGCATGACGGGGTAGCGAGGTAAGATGGGGTACCGTACACATAGAAGAAATTAGACGTCTGTGAATATAAAACAATAAGCCAATATAGGAAGCCTCATTCAACCAACGGTTAGTGCGAGAGAAACTGTGAACTGTAATGCACGCGTCTTTTCTTAACAAACGTTTAGCGTTTCGTCGATCTTATTTTTTGTAAGTTGAAACATCATTTTTTTAAGGTAATTATGATCGCCCCATTTATGTCTTTTTAATTTTTGGTTACTAGTGTTATGTATTTTGATATGGTATGTTGTTTGTAGGAATCCGTTAAACATTTTATTTGATATTTAGTTTTCTGTTCAGAGAGGCTTTATGAGGCAAGATGGGGTATTGGGTGTGGGGTATGATGGGGCATGGGGGCAAAATGGGGTTGTGGGTTTAGCTTCATTTAAGTTTCTTAATAAATAACATAAATTTAATCTTTTTTAGGTAAAATCATGGTACGTACTTATAAGAAAAAAACCAAAAGAGGGGAGTGGTCGATAGATTCTATGAAAATAGCTGTAGATAAAGTTTTGAGCAAAGAGATGGGATACAAAAAAACTGCTTCAGCATACGCAGTACCTCAGACTACTTTAGAGCGATATGTTAAGAAAATGAAGGAAGGGAGTGAAGTTACTATTGGTTTACCCTTAGACCCGAAAAAATCTATATTTACATCTAAGGAAGAAGGTGAAATAGAAGCATATCTGAAATATATGGAAAAGCGTCTTTTTGGACTAACAACTACCGAACTGAGACGTCTAGCATATCATATCACAAGC